ATTCAGAAAGAAGCTTAGCCTGGGACTCCTCTGAGTTCATTTCTGTAACTTCTTCTCTAAGCATCTTGATTTCATCCTGTTTTTCTTCGAGAGCTACTTCGATTATTCTTTGTTCATCTTTAAGAGAAGAGATTGTTGATCTCATTTCCATGATCCTGCTTTCGAGATCCCTTTTCTGCATTCGAAGCCACTGCATCTTGGATTTCATTTCCTCCGCTTTCCTTTTAGCTTCTTTCGTATGATCTCTTTCTTTCTGTCCCACAGATGACATACACTATTAGTTAGTTTTTTTTTTTGGTTCCCACCCAGCGTTCGGTACCCACATTGGAGCCCGATCGAGCTGGGAAGTCCCACATTAGAGGGTAAAACGCTCTCTAACAAAGGCAACTCCATACCTAGGGGACTTGAACCCGAGACCTCTAGTTAAGGACCACTCCATCATAAGCCGGTAACAAATACTATTAGTTTGTGTGGTGTTGTATTTTTAGCATACAAGTTTGTTTCTGATCTGTCATTTGAGTCCTTAGTTACGCGGACTCTTCACTTTTGATGCTGCACCCATCTTGGATTCTTCAAAAATACACTACTTTTGGTGAATCCAACACGCACCCGTTTGCATTTTTGAAGAGTCCGAGCAACATACTCATTTCAGAATCAAAGGCTCAAACTAAATCGAAAGAGTTTATCATTTTTCTTAAAATCTTAAAACCCATCACCTGTTAAATCTTTGTTTTAACTGCAGCAAATGTTTTATTTTTCAAACCCTCATGAACAAAATGAAAGTTCAGGTCGACGGTCTAACAACTGAGCTACTAAAATCCGGCAACAAATGGTTTGAAAGTTTAAACTTAGAGCCACCAACAGTAACATGACTACATGCATGACTAACTATAGTCGTGGTGGAGTGATAAATACTTCTTCATTCTTAATTAGAGATTTCTGGTTCGAATTTTGGACATGGAGCTGACAGACACACAGAAGAAAAAAGAAACAGAGATTTGAGAGAGCACCTGCAAGAGGAGTCTAAGATGGATGAGTTCAATTTGTTTTTCTTTAACAAGGAGGTTGAAGATGCGCCTTTCTCTGAGCTTGTGTAGAATGATTACTCCAAATAATGCAACCCCAAAAGCAAGAAGCAATAACACTGCATATGTTGTTCTTCCTCTGTTGTGACTCTGCATGTGTCCCTTCATGCTTCCTCCTTTTGCCATCTCACTTTCACTCTACAAATTTATAAAAAAAAATAAAAATGGAGGAAACAAGAATGAAACCCCCTCTCTCTCTAGCTCTTCCTATATGAAAGTGTCACATCTTGCATGTTTCTTGTCATCTCAAAGTGGTTTTCAAACTGCCTCCTCCCCTCCCCTCTCTTTTTTTCTATTTCTATGCACACACACATGGAGGTACATAATGGTGTGTATGACAATGTTTATAAAAAATTTCATCTTTGGTTGATAGTTTATTTTAAAAAAAATACTAATCCCTCTGTTCCTTTTTAGTTGTTATGTTGCGCTTTTTAAAAGTTAATTTTGACTGATTTTCAAAGCTAATTAGATTACATTAATTCGTTATTTTAAACTAAAAATTTAGATATTCAACGACTATACGGAAAGTACTATAAATTGCAATTTTTTACATCATTATAATTGAAAAAAATATATCGTAACATGTTAGTTTTTATCGTTTGACTCTAAAAAAGAAAATCATGACAACTAAAAAGGAATGGAGGAAATACTATCTTTTTTTGGGAAAACAACTTCTACAAGCGACATTTAGCTTTTTTTCGTCCTCCAACACACGAGATCTCACCCCCACTCCCCATAGCTCCCACCTCCACCACTCCACAGTCCTACCTCAATCTCGTCCTATAATAATAACAAAATCAACATATAGAGTGTAATTTCACATGTGTATTCTGAGGACGATGATGTGTATGCAATCTTAATCTTAAAATAAAGGTAGAGATGTTATTTTCAATGGACCTTGTTGTTGTTGTCAAACACCAGAAAATTACTTATTTTTTAAAAGATAACTTTCTCTACTCACTTTTACTTGTCCACCCTTTAAAAAATAGATTTTTACCTTTGACTCGTCACTTTTAATAAACATATCAAAAAGATAATTATATTTTTTCATGTTTTACCCTCAATATTAATTACTTATTCTTCAAATCATTTTTCAAGAACTAATATTAAACATCAATTAATATAAGTATTATAATAAATACTTACATAATTATTTCTGAATTGATGTGGAAAGTCTAAAATGGACAAGTAAAAATTAAGAAAGAAAGTGTTTTTTGTTGGAACCAAACAACACCCTAAGGAAAAGAGTGGCGGAAATAACAAAGTTATAAGGAAAAATGTGCATGACATGGGAATGTACATTTCTTGCATTTCTTTTTAGTTTCGTTTAATACAAATAAATACTACCTTCTGTCGCCTGACTGGCCACTCGGTGTTTCTGGTACCCATATTGAAGTCAGACTAAATTTAGATTCACGTCAGAAAGTCTCATATTAAAGATAAAGTGTTCTTTAACAAAAGCAACTTCATACTCAAGAAAATTCGTACTCGAAACCTTTGATTAAAAATGAAGAAGTACTTACCACTCCACCACAATTTCGATAACTGTATTTCATTGCAAGATAATTGGCTTTTCTACTTTTTAAAAGTCGCTGAGAGGGCAGGCAAAAACTGTAACACCGTTTATTGTGATCAACCAGGTCTCATTAGTCTTTGCATACTTTAATTGTGACAGTGGCTTTAATTTAATTTAAGTCTTTTCCTTTTTCATCCGTTACAACAGCAACATACACAATATAATCCGATAAACGAAGCCAATAGAAGCTAAGGTGGTCTGTATATAACTTTATTTTTAAAATTACAGTAATGGATTTAGAATTTTCACTAAGAAGATAATGCTTGAAATTTTAACTTGGAACATCATTTTAAACCCCTAAACTATTGAGTCAATCTCTAATTTTGTGTTCCGGGAATTCAAATAAATAAACAAATATACATATACTAGAATTTCAAAAGCTACATCTATTTCATATGCATGATATACTAGAATTCTTGAAACATTCACAAAGGAAGTTCAATTATGTTAACAAGCTGTGTCTAAAAGATATATAACTAATGTTAGAATCTGTGTCTTGCAAATGTGCAAGAGACCTTAAATTCTCACGTTCCAGCTTGCATTATGTTAACAGGTCCCACCACCAACTCTAACTAAGAAGTTGAGTCATTCTTTTTTTTCTCCAGAAATAGAATAGAATAAAAAATGAGATAGTCTATATCCTGTATCGATCATAGGATGATCAAGGACAAAAAGGAAACTGTACTACAATAAATATAATTGTTGCTATGGTGCAAAATATACATATCTGAATCACTCGAACAAACAATAGCTCTCGAATCCATTGAACGTACTGCAAAATTCAATATCATCGTGAACATATTTCAGGATCACGACGATTACATATATCTGTTGCTCATAATCAGCAGCATGATGGTGCTCATCCTCGCCTTGGTGACGAGGACAACATTGTCATTCATTCACTGGTGCAGGCTTAAACTTGATGAATCTGCTTGCTAGTAAAAAAAAAAAGAGCAAAAAGTTGTAGCTGAAATTGAAAACAGGATGGAAAATTTTGCTACTACTCAATATGACATTGACTTCTTACAAATGATAAGCACAACAATGCAAATAAAAACATTACCTTTTTATCTATATGCTGCAGCTCCACCAGTAAGGCTCGGGACACCATCAGGCGGGAGCTGGGCAAATACTGCCCCAATTTCAGGGGCATCCAGTGGGCTGGATAGGCCCAACCAGAGCATGTACGTCTAGAAGTGGTCTCGCGAGCCAGAGGTATACCAGAAAAGGTATTTTTACTGATTTTTCTCCTGAAATAATAATTGAAATATACATGAAAATGAAGTCTGTTAATTCGGGACTGATTCATCAGAACTGTGCATACAACAAACAAACTATGGTTTTGTGTAAGCTAAAAAGAAGTATTTGAGTGGGATACAAAAGAGCATTTCAGGATGTTCAAACATAAACGAAGCTTCATTAGCACATTAATCCTGTTTTCATGGACAGCTTTTCTAGCGTTTGAGACGTCATATGGAACCTCAAATCTCTCTTTATTTGTTTCTTAATATGCCAAACTTCTACAGTGATTTCATATGACAGTTTCATATAGCATTCCCCAGCAAGAATCTTTGCTGATACTTTCACAGACTAGATAGTTTTTAGCACTCCAACACTCGAACTTGGTTATACTTCATGTTCTTATCCACGAAGCAGCCACTATACAGCAAAGATAAACGGGATACAGGATTTTCAATATGAGCCTGACCTCCACTTCCACCCAAATAAAAAGGAAAAACTAGTTGGATCCAATATGACAATCTGTAGTTTAAGCCTGTTAAACAAGAGAATGACACGAAGAACAACTACTGCGTCTCATTCATGAACTGTTAAACAAGACAGTACAGTTCAATACGATATAGGCTGTGGTACTCGATGTTGCTCAGGCTTTCCAAAATTGTTACTGCACCCATGTTGGATTCCAAAAATGCTCTACTTCTGGAGATCTGAGCAATATAGGTAGTACTGCTCTATAACTAAAAGATAGAGAAAATGCATGATTATGAGAAGGAAACAAAGTCATCTTTTGCCAAAGGCCCAAACTCAAGACCATCGTGTAGTAGGAAATAAGTCGGGACCATAAAACTGTAATCAAAACAAGGATAAATCTTTCTATTACTATCAGTATTTTGGGATTCCTGCCAGAAATAGCCATTGTGCATGATACGATTTTTCAGATATTTTGCCTACTCAATCAACTCCCTACATCTATTCTCTTTATCGTTGAAAAGAAACATATGATGTGAAAAATTTAAAGTTGTGATTTCAAATCAATGTTGATTAGCTAACAATTTGAAAAGTCTTTTAAGAGCATAAGCATGTTACTTACTGTAAGAATGTTATCGACCCCCGAAAGAAGAATTTCCAGAGCTGCCACTGTGACTATGTTCAAAAGCAGGAGAAGAATACTCCCTTTCGGGTCTAAGGAGTGGAGCAAGAAGGGACGTTGCAGTAGGGTGCTTCCTCCTTAACGCCTGCCACCAACTTGTGCTTCCTTTTATCTGTTTGAGAGAGGCAGCGAGTTGCTGCCTCATTTCCAAAAAGAAGGGAAGTATTTTCAGCTCTGGACATTCTACGACTTCTATAGTCGTTAACGAATCACAAATCATTGGACCTCTGCATATGCTTCTCAGTCTTGGTATAGAAACTAATCTTAATTTTTGCAAACTTGGGAGGACCACTTCACCATTGTTCTCTTGAATGATCTCTTCATTTTCCGCATCAGTGACTATGATCTCCTCCAGCATCGAACAGTTTTCCAACTCGAGCTTTTCGAGGTTTTTGAGATGCTGCACTAACTCAAGTGGTAACAGAGTCATGAGATTATCACAAGCAATAACATTCAACACCTTAAGGTTTGAAAGAGTGCCTGTTGGTGGAATCCCCTTACATATATTCTGCAGTCTGCTCAGGCCCTCAATCTCTAGCAACTCTAAATTAGGAAATGTGCCCCACTCGGGAGTTATAATCCACTCCATCTCATCACAGTACTTTATTTTGCAACGTTTCAGGTCGGAGGAATCGTTCATAATAAACATAGGTAAGTGAGTGATTCCAGAACATTCATGAATGACCAACTCAAGTATACCTGGCAACCAAGAAGAGGCTTCTGTTTCAACAATGTAAATCCCAAAGAATCCTACGCTATTTTTTCCGGGTAGTTTAGAGGATTGGGGATAGCCTACACAAAATTTGAAACTCTCAAGAGTGTTCCAGTGATCTGATAAGACATAATAGTTGAAGTCCTGCAAGTTGCTGAAATTGGCTTCAAGGGTTGTCAAGATGGTGCAGCGTTTCAAAACGTTAACAAAATCGGAACCGAACATTAGAGGTTGCCATAGACCAATAGTTAAGAGACTCTCCAGAAATCTGTATGTTCCTAAAATTTGAATATCAAATTCATTAAGCGTAGTGTGGGAGAGATCCAGATGCTTCAAATTGAGTAACATTTCCATCCCCGGGGGCACAGACTCAATTGATGTAGAAGAGAGATCTAAAACCCTCAGCTCCTTTAGCCTTTCCATTGTTGGCACGTGATGCAAGTTCCAACAACTTCGTAGAAGCAAAGCATGAAGGTTTTTGAGATTAGAAAGTGAATCAGGCAACCCAGAGATGCCTGTGTAAGATAAGTCCAGAACTTTAAGACTTTTTAGATGGTTAAAGAAAGAAGGATGTACTCCCTTGGTCAGTGAATTATACTGCAATAGCAAGGTGGTTAACTGAGGACATCTCGGTTCCAAAATCAAAGAGTTCAAATCATTTCTCATTAACGAGATTCGTTCAAGCCCTACGAGCCATTCACTCTCAACTGGTGGGACACGCATCTCATGTCCTGCTCGGATCATAAAGAGTGGACTCTCTCTTGTAACAGCTATCGCCATATCCCTAATGAGGTCATGCATCTTGACATATTCATTCAAACTACCTTCTTGACATCCAATGATCTCTAGAAGGCACGCATGTTTCAGTTCATCTAATATCATCTTTCCCTGCAGCATCTTGGATTCTCCGTACCCAAGATTATCCAACAGGCCTTCCCATGACCAGTACTTAATCAGTTCTTCGGTCTCGATATGATGATCCTCTGGGTACAATGTGCAATAAAGAAAACATGAACGAGTCACATTGTCCTTCAGTCTTTCATAGCTAAATCTCAGACGTGCAAAGACTCGATTCTCCATGCCTTCTATTCTTCCCGTTGCACTTTTCAGCTGGCTTAATGCATTTTTCCATTGCCTCAGATCATTTTCTCTTCTTAAAGCCCGACCAACTGTTACAACAGCTAGTGGGAGACCTCCACACTCCTTTGACACATCCTTGGCAACAGCTTGTAATGTTGGAGATGCTAGCACCTCCTCACCGACCTTTTGTTTAAAGAGGTTCCATGCTTCTTCCTCTGAAAGAACACTAACTTCAACTTCCCTCACTGATTCCATGCCACGACAAACTATCTTGGATCTAGAAGTTATTATCAACTTGCAGTCATATCCGTAATATGGGTATGGGATTCCTATAACCTCCAAAGGAAATGCTTCCCACAAATCATCTATAATCAAAACAAATCTACTTCTTCGCATCAACGCTTCAAGTAATTGAGCTGCTCTTGTCATTTCATCATCTTCATCGTCAAAAGATAAACCTATTGCTCTAGCAATATCTTTTTGCAATTTCTGGACATTTGAATCGTTGGATGCTGTGACCCAAATGACATAATCAAAAATTGTGCTCTCTCTCAAAATACGATTATTGATTTCCACGAGGATGGATGTCTTACCCACACCCCCCATTCCATAAATACCAATTATCCCAGAGTGTTCATCATTCAAATACTCCCATACAGTCTCCAAACTTCTTTGAGCAGATTCTCCTACTAATGAGGATGCTGGCAATATCTTTCCCCTCCGAGGCATCATATCAACCAACGAAGCATCTGGAAATATGCTCTGGCCCAGGAGCCTGTCAACTTCTTTAATTTTCTTATTGATGCGTTTCCCCTGCTTAAATCGAGACATATAATTTGGCAAACATCTGTTTAAACACCTCTTGTCTATAGTAAGTTTCTCTTGCATGCTGGCAATACTACTTGCAATCTTTCTTACATTGATAAGCCACATGTTTACCTCAGCCTTTGGCTCCATACCACGCCATACATTTTCCACATGTAACTTCCTTTTGATATCCTCCTCCCGAGCTTTAAGCAATTCCATCTTTTCATTAAGTCTATTTGCTAATGCACGAGGCCTTCTCAGGTATGTACATGTTTCAGAAACGGATTGACGAGAACAGGTCTCTCCACAAAAACACTGCATCATGTTAACCACTGCACCAACGATTTCCATGGCAAGTATGTCTGCAAAGCAACAGAAGGAAAAGATAAAGAAAAACAAAAGCAACAATGAGGGGCTCATCTATGCTGATATCTAAGTAAAAGATATTGAATCCAATTCTAGCCTAAGAGCTAAATTATGAGGTGAAGAATGTTCAAGACCAAGAAACTACAACTCATATCCCAGATAATGTCGGACTCTAACACGCCTCCACCCCTTCCGGGAATGCTGATACATGAGATTGGGAAATTACACAGTTGGTTAAAGTAGTTAGGAATGGATACCTCAGTTAGTCCAGTTAGTTAGGATAGTTACAATTCTGTTCATTCTGTTAGGATCAGTTAGCTAGTCAATTCATTCTTACTTTATATGCTCTCTTCTTCTACTTTTTCTATCTTCTTATAAACCAACAAATCTGGGCCCTGTATACGATAGGAGATGTGGTGATCAAAGGATCCAGAGAGAACATTTATTACCAACTCCTGGAAGTGATAATCCTGCAAGAAATAAGGGATTCAACAGAAGGAGGATAAGCTTGGAGGAGATTAATGACAAATGTAGGAATCTGAAACAGGCTCTATATTCTAGATTTAGAGGAATTAGAAGAGGAATAGATTCAGACTGAGATGGCAGTTTGACAGTTTCAAAAGTTTCTCAAAGGCATCAGGTTTGGTAGCCAACCTTAGCAAAAGCTCTATTTACCGTGGTGGGTATGTCAAGTGCTAAGGAACAAGAGCTTATTGATTTACTGGGGTTTAGTAAAGGTGATCTGCCCTTTAGGTACTTGGGGGTTCCCTTAAGTACTTAGCGGGTATCTATTGTCCAATGTCAACCTTTGCTTGAAAAAATGTTGGGGAGAATCAAATCATGGACTACCAAGTTTTTTTCATATGCAGGTAAAACCCAACTGATAAAATCCGTGCTGTTCTCTATCCAAGTATTCTGGGCACAAGTTTTTGTATTACCTAAGAAGGTGATCCAGAAGGCCAGTTCCAGAACCTTCTTGTGTACTGGGGGTCCTGAACTATCAAAAAGAGCACTACTTGCCTGGGATAAAGTATGCTATCCAAAAGTTGCTGGGGGTCTGAATATTTTAGATGTGGCCACATGGAATAAGGCTACAATTAATAAGCTCCTATGGAACATATGCATGAAGAAAGATAAGTTGTGGGTAAAGTGGATTCACTTCTATTATGGGAACAGAGACTTGCTGATGGACATTCCCAAACAGGCCTCGTGGATCATTCAAAGGACCCTTAAGGCTACTAAATACTTTGCTCAAGCAGGATATGGTGTGGAAGACATCTTAACTATGCCTAACTTCTCAATAAAGCAATTCTATGTAAAGCTGAGAGGACAGTTTCAGAAGGTGCCATGGAGAAGACTGGTTTGTAACAATAGTGGCCTTCCTAGATGGATTTTTATTTTGAGACTGGCTGCACTTGCAAGATTAAACACTCAGGATAGACTAGTCCAGTGGGGGTGTAACTACAAATCAGATGTGCCCTATGTGTGAGAAGGAACCTGAATGTTTAAACTATTTGTTTTTTGTATGTCATGAGGTATCTACGGAAGTATGGAAGAAACTACTGAAGTGGATTGGCATCACAAAGGTCCCTGCTCAATGGTCAGAAGAACTGAAATGGGCTGAATTGCATGCTAATCCAAAAGATGAGGTCTAAAGAATGATGTTGGCTGCTGCACTATACTATCTCTGGAGGGAAAGGAATACTTGAGTATTTCAAAACAAAAGATAGACTCCTCAGGCTATGATCAGACTCATCATACAGGACATTCATGCTAGAGCTGCAAACCAGAATAGACTTGCAGCAAGGCTGCAAAATTACAACTCTTATCCTACCTAATACTTATTCGATAATGATATAATTAGGTGTTGACTATGCGTCTTTCTTGTCATTTGTTTCAAAAGATCCTTAGTAAAGATAACCGTGGGGCTATGTCCAACAGTATATGCTATGTAATGATTAGTTACAAAAAAAAGAGATGGAATTGAACACATCTATAGAGGAGATGGAGATATCTATTCATGCTCTAAATGGTTCACTGAGATTTACAACTCTAAAAGACCATTACACATCCTAGTTGATACTGGAAGCTATCATAATTTCATTCATCCTCAACTATTGTGGGATGCACTACCTGCACCATAATTATCTAATTGCTAAACAAAAAAATCCTGACTCCACCTTTGTCTATTCCGAGTATAGTTGGTAACAAAGAAAAAATAGGGAGTAGGTATAAACATTCCTCACACTATCAATTGATATAGAACTACATTTCATCACAGAATATTTAACAGATATTCATGTCTACATATACACATCAAAATATTCATTAACTTACTATGAAAAAAGATGGACAGAATTTGAATACTAACCACTTTGATTTCTCTAGTGTTCTTGAGAGGCTCCTTTTCGAAAAAATATCACAAGGAAATTATCAATATGATTGATGAGTATGAATACTATACAATGAAGATAACTTTGCCCTGTAATTTATTGAGGCAATGAAAGTCTAAGGCCAGCTACGAGTTGACTTATGTTTATCATCATATCATATCATATCATATATTATTATAAGTGGGAACAGCTTAACCTCAAAAGTTGAATTACGAAAATACCCCTGTATTAAATTAAAAAGTAATAAAAATTAATTAATTAAATAATAATTATATACCATATTATTATATTATTATACTAATGCTAATCATCATATACCTACTTGTTTGTTTTCTCCGTTTGTTGGCTTCTCATTTCCTTCCTAATCTTAATTATTCTCTCTCTACTTATAAATATTCACCTGTTGTTATAATAATTATAATAAAGAAGGGGAATGAAGAGTTGTAAGGTAATTAATTATGAGAGAAATGTTCACTTTATTGCTATATAATTATGATAATAAAATATAAAGATAATGAAGAGTTGCAAGGGTAAAAAAATTTTGAGAGCTATAATATAAAATAAAGAGAATGAAGAGTTGCGAGGGTAATAAATTTGGAGAGCTATATATAATATTTGTGTAGCAAAGAGGTGGCCAGCCGATGGTCATTATTTTTGCAAAAATGCATGATCATTAAATAAAATTTTCATTTCTCTCTAAATACATTAGTTGATTACTTATTACTTTCATTGTATTTTTTGCTTTTTACAGAAGAAAAATGTGTATAAGTTCTAAAAGTTCATACGGAGCATGCAATGATGGAAATGGATATTGGAAATTTTCAAGGAGGTTGAAATCCATTTATTCACAAAGTTAGTTTTTAACATTATCTAATATATTTTCATATTTTGAGAAAATTCTCTTTTAATATTTAGTTTTTAGGTAATTGTCGGAGGAATTCAAATCGGTGCTTTCACTGATTTACATACTTTGGGTAAGTGAATTGAATTCTCTTCTTCCTTTCTTTGTCATTTCACATAATATATATATTCGTTGCTTTTCTTTCTTCCATTTAATTTTTCACCTTATTTTGTTAGAGCTTAATTTTTCATGTTTCAGATCTGACCTAGCTATCATTTTGGAAGAAAATTATTGTAGATAATAATTATGACCATATCTAACTATTATGTTGTTTATCTCATTTTGCTCCAATATTACTTTTTTGGTTCCTTTACACTAGATCTTCTAGGTACAGAAGAAAAAGAATATCATTGTCTTTTTAGAACTGTCAGGGATAGTAGCATTAGTGTTGCATTTGGATCGAAGACGTCATCATATGTGATAATATTGATAGATAGAGAATGAATATTTGGAAGACAATAGATTTTATCACTATGCATGGATTAGAATGAAATAAAGATATATACTCTTTTATACACTAATAATTTTTATTTTTTATTTTTTATTCTAATTGATGTAGATGAAGGATACATATCTCTCGAAGGTGTTTGGAAATGTTCCAAAAATTTAAATTTTGGTTTTATTTCATGTAAATTGGTTCCTTTGTAAGTGATTTTTATATTTATTCTTAAAATTTTCTTTTTATGTTTTCAAATTGGATATAGGATCTACATGTAAAGTGCGTAATGAGAGATTATTGAGGATAAGTTATATCGGCATATTCATACCATTACATGTTATATTATCTTAATTAGCTTCACATTTCTTGCTTGATGGCAAATGCAACATTCCACTGTTATGATTTCAGAAATCAAATTGCTGCTGAATTCTTTTTTGGTTTCACATTACGTGTTTGATATCTAAACAGGTGCTCGAATAAACAGACACTACTAATAGATTTTCTTTTTAATTTTTAGGATTTAAATCTGAGACCTTTGTGCTGTTAAATTAAAAATATGTCAAATTTATTAATTAACCTTTAATCTATAGCGGTCTTAAAGAAAAAATATTGTTTCAACTATATGTAACACTAATATAAAACATTACCAAATATCATAGGTTATTACTAGGATGATAAAGACTAAAGAGTGTACCATAATAATCCATATATATGGTTTCATCGTGACATTGTCACTTAGATGAACATTAAAAAAAAAAAAAAAAAAAAACCTTACACAATTTTGCAAGTTTCATATTAAAATTAGAATCTTCACTAAGAAAAATTCAAAATATAGCGAAATAAACAGAGATCTATTCTTCGAATCACAAGCAAAATAGAAAAAAATCATTCTGAATTAAGGAGATGAAGGTTTTTCATGTGTGGGCAAAAGTTGAGCTCTACAAAAGGGACATGTTTTCTTCCTCATCAACCACTTCTTGATACATTCAACATGAAATTCATGGCCACATTGAAGTGTACCAATAGTATCTTCATCATTATATTCAATTAAGCAAATAGCACATGCTTCTTGTTCTTCAACAATAACATCATCAACACCACTTATATCCATAGTTGGAACATGATAAGTTCTTGTTTTCAAATACTCAAACACGTCCTCGTCCTCATAATCATCATCATCGTCGTCGTCCGAAAAATCATTATAATTTTCTTCATCATCATCCACTTGAATAGTTGTGTTATAAATATTCACTGAATACAAATGCCTTTGAAAAATTGTTTCATCATGTCGTAAAATTGTAGGAAGACCTTGTTGATCATCAGACATAATATTGTTACTAATTTCTTCAAGTAAAAAATAATCTCTTGAAGAAAAGGACATAATCTAGAAATTGGAGGTTCAATTTAATGAACTAGGGTTAATTAATATATCCTATTTATAGAATGAAATAATTATTTTCTAGTTTTATTAGGATTGGGGCATTATTTTTTATTTTTTTTGCCTAACATTTTTTAATTCTTTTTCTGGTTTTATCCCCACTTCTCCTTTTCCCAATATGATAGGACTAGGGTCTAATTCTATCTACACATGAAGTCTTTTCTTAAATAATGAATCACTGTATAATTTATAGGGAGACCTAAGCTACACACAAATATAAATAGTTATGTGGTCGATAAAATCTTTTCTTTATGGGCATCCTATCAAATATGATCACGTATTTTCGAATATGTTGTTATATTATACATGTATTCGCCTTTTCATTTTATTTTAACTTTTTATGTTTTTACATGTGTCCGAATATAGAGAACGGGCACGACTCCCCTTCTCTCCATTCTACCATCCTAGTTCTAAGTTTCGGGGTTGAGTCAGATAGGACAAGATCCAATTAAATTCCCATAAATACATTCCTTGCCAAATGGGGAAAAAGTATTGAATGTGAGGAAATGTTCCATCATGAACTGTTAAACATCATGACAGTACAATTCAATATGCTGTAGAACTCTATGTTGCTCGGACTTTTTAAAATTGTTGTCACACCCTTATTGTTGGATTCCAAAAATGCACTATTTTTGGGCATCGCAGAGTGTGGCCTAATGGTCGATGATGTGGTTGAGAGTCCTGAAAAGGAAACGAAGTCAACTTTTGCCAAAAGTTTCAAACTCGAAAACATCACACTGTAGGAGGAAATAAGTCTGTAACATAAAATTGTAATCAACACACTGCAGCAGAAGAATACTCCCTTTCGGGTCTAAGGAGTGGAGCAAGAAGGGACATCGCGGTAGGACGCTTCCTCTTTAACGTCCGCCACCATCCTCTCACTTTCTATGCTCTCTTCTTTTTCTATCTTCTTATAAACCAACAAATCTAGGCCCTGTATACTATAGGAGATGTGGTGATCAAAGGATCCAGAGCAAACATTTATTACCAACTCCTGGAAGTGATAATCAATAGATTCAGACTGTGTAACGAACCCGAATTCTCAACAGCAAATATTCAAATATTATGTAATGCTTGATAATCAAATTATCACAGCAACACTTAAACTATTGAATTACAACCAAAAAGTACTGAAATAACAACTACGATAGAGATGAGTTATGAGGATGAGAAGCTTTGACTCTAGAAGAAGAAGAGAGGACAGACATTGTCTCTTCAATGTGCATGAATTCTCCAAATCACAGTGACAACCCTTTTATCTCTACTCAACCTAGATCCCGAGCAAATCTATTGTTGGGCTGTCTTATTCTTAGGCCTCTTCGTGGTTTAGCCCCAGGCCTAACAACTTGTCTTGCCTCTAGGCTATTTGTGTTCACAACAATACTCCCCTCCTCAATAAGAACCTTGTCCTCAAGGTTGTAGAGCAATGGCAACAATAAAACAATAACACTCTGGTAAAGTGAAGGCACTACTAAGGTCTAAGGCAACTGCACCATAATTGTCGAACTGATAAACAAAAAATTTTGACTCCGCCTTTGTCTATTCCGAGTATAGTTGGTAACAAAGAAAAAATATGGGGTAGGTATATATAAACATTCCTCACACTATCAATTGATATAGAATTATATTTCATCACAGAAATTTTGACAGATATTCATGTATACAAATAGACATCAAAATATTCACTAACTTACAATGAAAAAAGATAGACAGAATTTGAATACTAACCACTTTGATTTCTCTAGTGTTCTTGAGGCGAAGGCTCCTTATCTTCTTTTTCTATGAAAAAAGGTAATTTTGCCCAGGCAATAGAAGTCAAGGCCAGCTACGAGTTGACTTGAAGTCAATCTTCATATATTGTATATATAAAGAGAAGCTTCACATTTCTAGGATTTAAATTCGAGACCTTCTGTGGACTGACTACAACTTTTTGTCCTTCAACTATTCATACTGTATGCGAAAATTTAAAATATTGTTTCAACTATATGTAACACTAATATAAAACATTACCAAATATCATAAGTTATTTCTTGGATAATAAAGAGTGTACCATAATCCATATAATATCATTTCATCATGACATTGTCACTTGGATGAACATTTTAAAAAAAAAAAAAACTTCCACAATTTTTGCAAGTTTCATATTAAAATTAGAATTTTCACTACGGAAATTCAAAATACGGCAAAATAAAAACTAACCTACTCTTCGAATCACAAGCAAAAATAGAATAAAATCATTCCAAATTAAGGGGATGAAGTTTTTTCATGTGTGGGCAAAAGTTGAGCTCTACAAAAGGGACATGTTTTCTTCCTTATCAACCACTTGTTGATACATTCAACATGAAATTCATGGCCACATTGAAGTGTACCAACAGTATCTTCATCATTATATTCAATTAAGCAAATAGCACATGCTTCTTGTTCCTCAACAATAACATCATCATCACCACTTATATCCATAGTTGGAACATGATAAGTTCTTGTTTTAGAATATTCAGACACGTCCACTTCCTCATCGTCCTCATCATCATCGTCGTCGTCATCATCATTGTCCGAAAATTCACTATAATTTTCTTCGTCATCATCAACTTCATTAACAATAGGTTGGGCAGGTACTATAGGAGTTGTGTGAATAGTTCGCATGCGCACTCGTTGCGTATCTACATTATTATTGATTGTTTCATCATCTGGTAATATTGTAGGAGGACTTTGTTGATCATGAGACATAATATTGTTACTAATTTCTTGGAGAACAAAATAATTTCTTGAAGAAAATGACATAATCTAAAAAAAAATTGAGAGTTTAATTTAATGAACTAGGGTTAATTAATATTTTCTTCTTCTGGTTTTATCCTAGGTTTCCTTTTCCCAATCAAATTCTATCTACACATGAAGTCTTTTTTAAAGTATAGTTCCATATTTTATATCGACAATAATAATATTTTTGAAAATTGACAAAAAAAAATAATTAATGAATCAATCAACACAAGTTTTAGATAGAGTGAAATAAGTTTGGCCTAAGTTTAGTATAAAGAATCACTATATAATTACCTACAAAAAATCAAACTATTAATCCGAATCGATTGTAACTAGAAGGGAGGTGAGATCTACTTATTAATTTTATATTAGATGAATGGTTTCACTATGATCATTCGGGAGACCTAGGCTCACGCGCTACACACAAGTACATGAATTGTAGTTTTAATATGTAGTATATTATGTACATGTATTTGCCTTTCTATTTTTTAAAAAGTTGTTTTTACACACGTCCGAATATTAAACAGGCATGACTCCCGTTCTCCCCATTTTACCGTCCAAACAAGTCGATTGTTCTAAGTTTTGGATTGAGTCGGATAGGACCAGATCCAAATTTGATCATATATAGCCTTAAGTTCAGGTGTGGTACTATGGCCAAACTGAAAACTTAAGGATTTGATTCCCCACCTTGTAATTTCTACTTATGAGCTGTTCAAATTTACTTAAGTTTCCCTCAAAAAAAAAAATTGTTCAGTGCATACTCTTATCTTAAGTAAATCATCTTTCATTTACTTTCACGTCGAATTTTACAAGTTCAAATTCTTCAATAAAAATATTTAATTTATTTTAGTTATGATTTTCTTTAAGTTGGATTATATCTTAAAAACAAAATTAAAACTTTTTTTCTCACTGTAACACAATATTAGGACAAATATGTAGTAATAAAATTCTCAAGGACATATTTGACCATTTTAAATAAATCATTAAGCCCTAAACTATTAATAAAACCCCTTTTCCATGTTTCCATTAAACCCCATTTCAGTTCTAACTTTCTAGAAAATTCCTTCCCTGCATTTCGATCAGGTAAAAAGATCTTCCTCTTAAAAGTTCCATTCTTTTTTATCTGCGCATTATATTTTTTTTTGTATTTTTGTTATGTATGTATTTTTTAAAAAAATAAAAAATTAATAATTGTGTGTTCTGCATAATTTTGACAATTTCCTATTGAATTACTTAATAAAATTGTAACAATGTAACATTGCATTGGTGTACAATGTAGTATGTCGAATTGAATGGGTTGATAAATATGAATCTTGACTCATCAAAGCCTTTCTAACTCGAACTATTGTTGTTTTTCGGTTGGTCATGGAGATTTCCTTGATATTCACAATCTTAGTGAACATAATGTAAATTTTGTCAAGTTCTTTACATTAGAGATGATGAAATTGAATTGTGTGTTGACTAATCATAACTCATAAGAGTTAATGGTTACTTGTAAAAGCTCTTCAGGATGTTCTGTTTCAATTTGTTTGTCTTTGTTCTGACTAAACACGGATTTTAAGAAAGTAACGAAGATTTTTGGATCTTGTGGTCTTTAATTAAAGATCGATATGCAGATCTTATGGCATTAAACATGTCATGTGAAAAGTTGGAGCTGAAAAGATGTTTTCTTTTTGAAACCGAGGAAGTACTTGTTATAATGATGAGTTTTATTGTGTTTACTCTCAGGGACTAGTTAAATGGATCTCAAGAATGTTAAGGTTCCTAAGATGCCTGGTGCTGGTGGTGCCGCCACTTCTCCCTTGATCAAGTTTGGGCTTGTTATCGGTCTTGGTGTGTATGGAATTGCTAACAGTCTCTACAATGTTGATGGCGGGAATCGTGCCATTGTTTTTAACCGTATTCTTGGTGTTAAAGATAAGGTATGCCTTGTACTCTCTCTATTGGACTAGGATGATATTTGGAAATCAGATTGACTTGACTCTAGCATTCGTCGAGTAAAATGTTTGCTTCTATCGTTTAGCAAGCAGGGTGTGTTTGCTTCTATCGTTTGAGTAAAATGTATAAATCAGTATGTGTTGTTCATATTTCTTCTGTACCTTGATGTCCATGCACATTCAAGTATATTATGGTTTGAAGATATTGTCATCTACTAATTTTATCGTATTTTCAATATGGTGGTTTATGGTGTACAACCTCGTATATGAACCTTTAGACCTGGCTTTCATATACTTCAGACTTGTCTTATGTGTTTTTGATGCACGATGCTCTGCTTGATGAATAGGTTTATCCAGAAGGGACGCATTTCATGATTCCTTGGATTGATAGGCCTGTGATATATGACGTTCGTGCACGTCCACATCTAGTGGAGAGTACTTCTGGAAGTCGTGACCTTCAGATGGTAATTTTTTTCTCAATACCTGCATTGCTCTTGATCCAAGAAATATAAAAGGAAAAGAGAAACCGAAAGAAGGGGGATTGCGGATAGGCTTGCTAAAAGAATGAATGGTTGTAGACATTGATCTTGCTCCTTGATGATTTTTCAGGTAAAGATTGGACTTCGAGTTCTCACACGTCCAGTACCAGATCAACTACCCACTATTTACCGATCACTTGGTGAAAATTATAATGAACGAGTCCTGCCTTCAATTATTCATGAAACTTTGAAATCTGTGGTTGCGCAGTACAATGCTAGCCAGCTTATCACCCAGAGAGAGGTATGTGTGAGAGGACATGTACCTACTTCATGTGTTGATGTTGCTATCGCTTGAAGTGTAGAAGTAATTATTGTGCTATAAGGCGGTAACTGGTAATACATCATCGGTACTAAGTACTGTATGTGGTTGCATCAATTGTGAGGAATGTTCTGTATTTGGCTGTCATAGAAACTCATAAGGTTCTTCGTCATTTTTTTTTTCAATTGTGTGTAACTCGTGCAGAATGTTAGTAGAGAAATACGGAAGATCTTAACTGAGAGGGCAGCCAACTTCAACATCGCTTTAGATGATGTCTCGATAACAAGCCTGACTTTTGGAAAGGAGTTCACAGCTGCAATTGAAGCGAAACAGGTGGCTGCTCAAGAAGCTGAGAGAGCAAAGTTTATTGTGGAAAAAGCTGAGCAAGATAAACGAAGCGCTGTTATTAGAGCTCAGGTCAAAATTAGTTCCCGATCTTATCCTTCTATCTTTAATCTTAGCTCCCATTTAGCCATAGGTTTACTTAAAGTTGTGATTTTTGAAATTTGAAAAGTCAATTACTGCTTCAACCTGTCATCATTTTATATGGAGCTTGAGTTCCTATTTGTATTGTTCTCGCAGGGTGAGGCTAAGAGCGCGCAGCTGATTGGTCAAGCTATCGCTAACAATCCAGCATTCATCACTCTCAGGAAAATCGAAGCAGCAAGAGACATTGCACATACCATTTCGAATTCAGCCAACAAAGCCTACTTGAGTGCTGATGAATTGTTGCTCAATCTTCAGGACTTGAACTTGAATAGCACTGGACGAAAATGAGAACGTAGGACGCTACCATTAGCTAAACTGTTTGTTATTTCGTCATTTCATTTTCTTCCTCAGACTGTTTAAATTTGCAGGTGAAATCCTCTAGGATGATGTTAAATTTGCAATTGAAATAAATATATGGTCTCACATTTTGTGTCTTCTTTTCCTCTTAAAAATGTTCCTTGCAGGCCATATAGGCATATACTAATATACCCAAAAACGCGAGTAATCACGCTCAAAAGGGCATAAATATGTATTATGCCTATAGTATACTTTGGAGAGTTTGTTTTCAGTAATATAATTAACGTATCCTAGACTCATTTAAAACAATTAAGTTACGTTATCAAACCATAATTTAATAAACCCTGGCAATCAACATTCTATATTTATTTACGTAAAATAAAGGCGTGAATTAATTCTAGCCTTAAAATCTTTTACTAAAAACCCATATACCCTTTTTAATAACAAATGAACCAAAGCCCTGCATCAAAATCTCTGTTTTTGGAGACTTTGTTGCTGTATATATATTTCT